TGATTGAGGATACAGAGCTGAAACAGGTGGCTTACATTTACAAGTGTACCAATACAACATTGCAAATCAAGGGCAAAATTAATTCCATTACAGTAGGTGAGTCCTTTTCACTGTCCTAGGCATTGGTGGTCATAGAGCTTGGGAGGGTGGGAGAGTTAGAACCATTTTCTGTAAGACCCTCGTCTTAAAGTCTTTCCAAATATATTACTTTAAAAGCTTTACTGTTGACATGCTCCCTTTCTTCTCCTAGATAACTGTAAGAAACTTGGTCTGGTGTTTGATGACGTGGTGGGCATTGTGGAGATAATCAATAGTAGAGATGTCAAAGTTCAGGTAACTTAATATCTTACCTCCTTCTTTGGGTCTCTAGTAATTAATTAAGAGAGGGGCAGCAGACTCACAGATGTTAACGGTAGTGGGAATCTGATTTCTCCCAAGTCTGTAAACTGATCTGCTTTGGATGTTAGCAGAGGAGTTGGTTTCTCTAGTGAGCCCTCTCCCATCCAGTCTGCTCCTAGCACCCAGTAACTGCCATGCAATTGTGAGCTTTTCATGAAGCTGCAACATCCTTCTCAACTGCTGGGACTCAGTTCTCTTGGTTTCCTCTGCAGGTAATGGGTAAAGTGCCAACCATTTCTATCAACAAAACAGATGGCTGCCATGCTTACCTGAGCAAGAACTCCTTGGACTGTGAGATAGTCAGTGCCAAATCTTCTGAGATGAATGTCCTTATTCCTACAGAAGGCGGTGACTTTGTAAGTTTCTTGACCTCTTTAGTGGTATGATGTTAAAAGGAAGGACTTATTGGATTGGGCACTGAGTAGGGAAAACCCAACAATGCGCTCCTCAGGCACACAGCAGCAGCATGAGGTAGTCCCACATAGTAGAGCTCCATAGGGGGCTGGTTTCTGTTTTTCCATTGAGCTACTCGGAGCAGCAAAACAGAATGGGAACCAGTCACAGCACTCGTGGACTGGCAGTGTGCATACACATTCTCCTCTGTGCCTCGCAGGTTGAGCCATGTGTCTGAGGTTATAGAGTCCAAGCTACATGTCAGGTGGCTCTGGAGCCTGACTCCTTTTCCCCACAGCCTTCTGCCTGCTCCGTGGTGTCAGTGGTAGGGAAACGGGGGAGCACAAGCTGTGGCATTGCCATTTACATAGACAGCCATGTTTTTTCAGAGGGAGTTCCTTTCCGCCTCACTGAATACAACTCTGCTCTCAAACTGGAAGCACATATTGGGAACAGAGTGAGATATGGTCTCATCTCATTCAGCTCAGTTTTGAATCTGGTTTTCTCTTTATTTGCAGAACGAGTTCCCTGTCCCTGAGCAGTTCAAGACCCTATGGAATGGGCAGAAGTTAGTCACCACAGTGACAGAAATTGCTGGATAAGCGAAGTGCCACTG